CCCCCCCCCCCCCCCGGAGAATATTGTCTGAAAGAGCCCCTCCCCCCCTACGTCACTCGTCTGGACAAAGGTCTGGGGGAAAGTCTCAGTCGGTCGGCATTTGGTCCCTTTCACAGAGGCCCTACTTTTAGTCTCCCTTCTGCACGCTGAGCTGGTGTATAGTTTGTTTAGTTATGGTTTTTATTTGATAAACAAAACAACTTATTTGTCATTTTTACTCCAGGTGTTGACAGGTTTAGTAGAGATATAGAGTCAATGCTGGGATCTCCACCTGGGCCTTTCTGGCGTGTGACATGGACATACATCAGTCCTGTCTTCTTATTGGTAATTTCTGTGAAGTACCGTAACATAATAGGAAGACTTAGAATACTTCAAACAAATCACTAGGACATATAAGTTCGATCTTTCTTTAAATAAGATGAACACTGCATATTAATAATTTCATTTTTTGTGTATTCCTTTATATAAAAAAAATCTTGATACAGACCCTGAGGAAATCAAAGGATGAATTCTAATATAATAACCTTCCTTCCTCCCCCAGTCCTTATTCATTCTCTCCATCATGAACTCACCGCCTCCTGAATACGGAAGCTATGTGTTCCCCTACTGGGCGCTGACCATCGGCTGGCTGCTGGTGTGCACCTCCATCATGTGTATACCTATCTACATAGTCATCTCGTTCTTCAGGACGCCGGGGTCGTTCAAAGAGGTACGTGTGTTTGTGTACAGATGGAAGTATTGGCGAATCTGAGGTTATATCGGGACTTGTCCAAAGTTGGCCGGTATCGCACCCTGGGAGTTCGGCTCTTGTGGGAGCTGGCTGTCCACAGGGTCTTTTGGAGACCTGCGTTGTCCCTGGTGTCTGTGGGAGCTGTCCACGGGGTCTGTGGGGAGCAGTCCATGGGGTCTGTGGGAGCAGTCCATGGGGTCTGTGGGAGCAGTCCATGGGGTCTGTGGGAGCAGTCCATGGGGTCTGTGGGAGCAGTCCATGGGGTCTGTGGGAGCAGTCCATGGGGTCTGTGGGAGCAGTCCATAGGGTCTGTGGAAGCAGTCCACAGGGTATGTGGGAGTTGTCTTTGGGGTCTGTGAGAAATTTCTGCAGGGTCTATAGGAAGTGTCCACGGTTTCTGTGGTGGGCTCAGCAGGATCTAGAGGTGCTGTCTGCAGGGCCTGCTAACACTGTTCTGTCACAAAAAGGCATGGCTTTCATGATGGCGTTCCGTATACTTGGCACACATGACGGTCTGGTGAAACGGGAAGCTAGCGTGTCAAAGACGTAACATACATGCCGGTACTTTTATGACATTCTGTCTCAATCCAAGAAACAACGCCTCTTCGAAGACATTCTCATCCTGCTCTCTGGGCATCATAGAATGATGCTTAGCGATATGGAATAGCATTAATGATGTGTCGACATCAGTTAACTTGTTAAGCGTCATGAGGCCAGACGTAGTCGGCGAACACAATACGAATAAAAACCATTTACATGTATGTGTATTTTTCAAAATTAAATGTTTCAAAACTTAATGCTTTTTTTTTTAAAACTATTTTTTTTAAAGTAATACCTACAGTTTAAAATTGTTTCAATGTAAATAGTACTTTTTCCTTTGACCTCAACTTTTTCATATTTTTTTTATATAAATATTTTTTTTTAAAACCTATTCAAACCATCAACAGAGAGTGTACCTGATGATTACTCCAACGGAAATACCCGATCACTTGCCGAAGAAGGAACTTCCGGTGTACTTGTAAGACGATGAAAGTGGATGCTCAAAGTTGGGGTCAGTGAAGCAAGGCTGGCAACCATCTTCACCCGTACAAGTCGCTCTTGCTCTTTCATGAACAGCTCTGAACATCTCTGACAATCCATTCCTCACGGAGCAAAGCACTACAGTTTGGCTCAAATAATCTCAAGATGTGGTTCGTCCAACAACCGGATGTGAAATTGTATTGCTAAAATGGGTGTATTTTAAATGTGTTACTAATTTAATGTTAACTGGCATGCGCTCAAGCCCGACTAACATTTCTAAGTTCCGGCTCTTATTTGACATTCTCGGTCTATCTCTCTCTCTCTTGTCATCTCCCCCCCCCCCCCCTTTCTTCTTCTTCTCTCTCTCTCTCTCTCTCCATCTCTCTTCACCCTCCCTCCCTCTCTCTCTCTCTTTGCCCCCTCTCTTTCCCCTGATCTCTCTCTCTCTTCCCTTCTCCACCCGACTAACATTTCTAAGTTCCGGCTCTTATTTGACACTCTCGGTCTCTCTCTCTCTCTCTTGTCATCTCCCCCCCCCCCCCCTTTCTTCTTCTTCTCTCTCTCTCTCTCTCCATCTCTCTTCACCCTCCCTCCCTCTCTCTCTCTCTTTGCCCCCTCTCTTTCCCCTGATCTCTCTCTCTCTTCCCTTCTCCCTCTCTCCCCCTTCTCTCTCTTCCCTTATATATCTCTTTTCCTTTATCTCTCCCCCTTCTCAATCTCTCGCCAACCTTCTTTCCCTCCTCTCTTTCTCGTTCATTCGCTCTCTCTCTCACTCTCTCCTGCTCTTTCTCTCTCTTTCTTCCGCTCTCTATTTATCCGCCCTCGTAGTTTTCCTCTTGAAAAGAAAGCTGTAGAAAGATGACTGCAACAACACACATTTTATCTTCCTTCAAAAAAAAAAAAATAATTTAAAGATGTTAATTTGTCACACTGTCGAAAGTTGATCATCGCAAGAACCTTCACACTAGACGTCCTCTACCCATTGCACACTAGACTTTCTCTACCCATTGCACACTAGACTTTCTCTACCCATTGCACACTAGACTTTCTCTACCCATTGCACACTAGACTTTCTCTACCCATTGCACACTAGACGTCCTCTACCCATTGCACACTAGACGTCCTCTACCCATTGCAGCGCTAGGCCATTATGATCCGTTTTATTAAAGTTTTATAAGGACCCATCTTCCATCTATTTTTCATACCATGTCTGTGCTGGTTAGGACCGAATGATAACTGATCTCAGTCATGGGCGCCCGCAGGTAGGGGCAAGGGGGGCACTTGCCCCCCCCCCCTGGATTGATTGGATAAAAAAAGTTTTAGACAAAAATAGACAAAAAATTATTAAAGTAAAGAGAAAATAAAGAGAAAGTAACTAAGCTGATGTCCTGTCCGTTCGTTCACCATACAAATACGCTACAGTAAATTAAAACTATATTAATACATTACTAAAAAAAATTTACTACACAACACCCAAATATAACCATAAATAACAATACATTACTAAAAAAAATTTGCCCCCCCCCCCCTTGGAAAGTTAATCTATTTTTGTGTGCCCCCCCCCCTAAAAAGTTTTCTGCGGGCGCCCATGATCTCAGTATAATAATTAGGCTTGCTATTGTATCCGTTAATTCTCCCTTTGGTCTACGCTATTAAATTATCATTTCCAGGCCATTTTCCCGAGTTCCGACGCCTTATTACCAATGTTCCCTCTAAGGTTTGCTGGTTCATGTGCAAAATCATACAGTTGTGTGCAAAGTTTTACAGCATCATTTTTTTTTGTGTTCAAATTTTTACAGCCCACAAACACAAAAACACACTTACATGGAGATTGGCTGCGCGGATACTCAAAACTGCTGCACGGTGTCTTAAAGGGAACATTGCTTATTACCTAGATATGGTCCTTCTAATCATCTTTATGCTCAGTTCCCACGATCAAATTTTCGTCAAACTTCTTTTTAAACGCACAATTAAGTCAAACAAAATTGTGAGTTCAGTAAGAAATGTGACGAAAATGTGACGAAAATTTGATCGTGTGAACTGTGCATTAGTCAAATTTAAAACATTTAAATTTCTTTATTTTCAATAATTGCTAATAATATTGTGTCGTTGTTTTCCCCCAAGAAACAAAATGTAGAAGAAAAAAAAATAGTACTAAAGAGATCAGTTAAAGTGGTGACGCGGTTCACGCGGTGTTACCTTATTTTGTTGACCGTGATAAACTTAGATGTGATCTTCATACAGGTATAATTTAACAAGAGATTTGACATGCATACAGCTATAACTTAACATGATTGGTGTCATTTTTGTGCATGTACAAACTGTGTTGTTTTTTTTTAAAATGCACTTGCTACTGTGTAAGTCAAATTATGTTGTATGTAAATTTGTGTTTGCAATTACCAAATTACCATAATTTAAGGTAGAGTTGATTGTCCTACCGATCACCGAAAAGTCATGAATTAGAACTGTTCTATAAAATTGCGCACTATTTATTGAGTAATTCGGTTCTCTCTAAAGATCAGTCATTGCTGAAGACAGTGATCGCGACCTCGACCTTTACCAGATGTTTTTATGTCACTACTATGTGTAAAGAATCTATCACTATGAGGAGGGGTTCTCAAATTTTGTAATAAGGGACCAGTTCACTGTCCCCCCATACACAGTTAGGGGCCGGAAAATTGTGGTTTTTTTTGTTTCTTTAATTTTTTTATTTAACAAATTCCTATGCTCACTGTACATATGTTATATGTAGTGAGTTTTAAATAACATTTAAAATGACGAACATGTGTGTTCAACATAAACATACTAGTATCTAAAAGGAAAATTTGGGACTGCTTTTATGTAATGAGATGGTCAATTTCTAGTTCAATATTAGTCACTGTCCAGTGCTACTCGTTTAACACTACAGCGACCAAGAGGCTCGGGTTAAGGGCCCCTGGCGAGCCGGATTTGGCCCGTGGGCCGTAGTCTCGGGATTACTAAGAGCAGGCCTCCACGACTCAAAATGTAATACTTTATGAAAATCTTGTGCGGGCCGAAAGAAAATAGGATCCGAGGGGAGGTGGGAAGCTATTAAGAAAATAATTTATAATAATGAATATTTCGTTACTTCGCGGGCCGCAAAGTTGGGGCTGGCGGACCACATGCGGCCCACGGGCCATATGTTGTGCATGCCTGACATAGAGAAATTACCTTATGTTTTATTAGCCGAGGTGCAACACCAAAGTACACCCACGCATACATAACTACATACAATTGCAATGTTAATCTTAAGGTGCGAAATTTTGATTTTAGAATGAATAATGAACATTTAATTACATGACCATTTCATTTTTTTCCTCCTTATAATTGTATATTTAATCATTTTTGTGTGTATATAGACCAAATCATTCTGAACATGGCTGTGCATGTTTAAGGTAATTCCATGTAACGTTTTTTAACGTTGCTGACAATTTACATCATGACTCGGTAGGACAAGAGATCCCCCCCCCATATCCTCGCCATCTCTTCCTCCCAGGTAGGACTTTGATATGATAAACAGTCCATGTCTGCAAGCTTGGGGCTCTTTAGGCAACCTAAAAATCTATAGTTTGAATTGAGGACAATGTTAAGTTCTTGTGATGGGGGAAAAACAATGTAAGGTTTTGGAGTGGGGGAAGCAATCGAAGTTCTTGGAGGGGGGGGGGGACAATCTTTTGCGATGAGGGAAAACAATCTAATTTTTTGGAATGGGGAAAACAATCTTAAGTTCTGGATGGAGGAAAAAAATTTTAAATACCGGAGGGAGGAAAACAACCTAAAGTTCGGGATGGAGGAAAACAATCTTAAGTTCTGGAGATGGGGAAAAAAATCTCAGTTTTTGGGATAAGTCTTTGATTCTTTAACAATTGTGGGAGGGGGGGGGGGGACAATCTTTTGCGATGAGGGAAAACAATCTAATTTTTTGGAATGGGGAAAACAATCTTAAGTTCTGGATGGAGGAAAACAATCTTAAGTTCTGGATGGAGGAAAACAATCTTAAGTTCTGGATGGAGGAAAACAATCTTAAGTTCTTGAGATGGGGAAAACAATCTCAGTTTTTGGGATAAGTCTTTGATTCTTTAACAATATTTTGAGACAAATCAATTATTTCATACTAAATAGGTTAGAGGGCATTAAACACAGAGTGTGTCAGGTTCATTTCCGTTGTTTTTGGAGAGCAATGGAGATGCATTGCCATAGTGCTAGAGAGCAATTGACCAATGGTATGTCAGGTCAGATGTATTTTCATTGTGCTAGAGAGCAATGTGTCCACGGTGTGTCGGGTGCGTTGTCGCTGTGTTTAAAAGCGATGTCCACTCAGTTCCACGTTGTTGTCATTTTGCTTGTACATATACTTTTAGGGTCGTATTCCTCTCTCTCTATGTATTTGACTGTATAAATGTTGACAGTAGCTAGTTTTAACATAATTAGTCCGAAAGATTTCTTATAGATATCTTTCATTTTTTTTTTTTCAAAATGGACATGGCTTGTAGAAGTATATTTTAAACGGAGCCTTTCAGTGGGGTCCAAGTCTATCATTTCTTGATTTGTAAGTCAATATTTTCTCATAGGTCAATGTTAGTTAAGTCTTAGTAAACGTGCAATATTGGACATACATCCACCTCACAGAGGTAAAATATTGTTTGTTAAGATACATTAAGTAATTACTTTTTTTCCGTTTCCATTCATCTAAATTGAAGATTTAAGAGTGTGGGGGGAGGGGGGGGGGAGAGAGAAATGTATAAGCAAATTTTCTCGGACTATGAATTCAATTTTTATTTAATAGCTTCATTTATTTTATTATCGTGAGCCCCTTATACGAGTGCTTTTTGGATAAGAACTTTCAGTTTGATTTTTTTTTTTTTTTTTTTTAAAAAAGAAATGTTTAACAGTTTAATTTTTTTTAAATTTTTTTAAAAAAAAAATAAAAACAACTTAAAAAACTTTTAAATCATTGCCATGTTTTAAATAGCTTCATTTATTTTATTATCGTGAGCCCCTTATACGAGTGCTTTTTGGATAAGAACTTTCAGTTTGATTTTTTTTTTTTTTTTTGTTTAAAAAGGAAATGTTTAACAGTTTAATTCTTTTTAAATCTTTTTAAAAAAAACATAGAAACAACTTGAAAACCTTTGAAATCATTGCCATGTTTTCAACGATACATTCGATTCACAGCCGGAAGTAGGCATGTGTTTCGTTTTGTCACTTTAAAAATAAATAAATTAGGCCTATTTACATTTCTTGTGGATACTAGTGTTAAAGAAACTGACCATAAGTGTACGTTAAATCAATGCAACAGAGCCTAAGCGATTTCTGATCCTTGCTTTTAAGTGTAAGATTTTTTTTATTAGTTCTGTTTTATATTGTTGCGTGAAAGTTGTTTTTGTTTCCTTTCGGTTCTTAGAGACTTGTGCAATAATAAGGGAGTACTTAATGTTTTCGTTGTTAAAATGTTTCTACCCTAGTATGATTTTAGGATTCACAGGTGTGTAAATGTAATACCAACTTTTTTTGTTTAAATTAAAAATCTTTCATTGATTTAATTGCATGAATTTTTTTTCTAGACCAATAAAACTTTTTTAAAAAGATTTGTGCACAATGATGGCATTTTACATTGTTTCGTAAGTTTGTTCTACATTTTAAAAATATCCATTCGTTACTACACAAACCAACTTGGGAATGCATGATTTATGAAGCTGTCATTGCTCACTATAATACTGATTAGAATGTTAGAGCACTGATAGAATGTTAGAGCACCTTGTTAATTTTTTATTTGGTGAAATTCAAAATACGGCAGAAAAGTCAGGGGGCAATGTTCCCTCTAAGGTTTTGTTGGTTCGTGTGCAAAATCATAAAGTTGTGTGCAAATTTTTACAGCATCAATTTTTTTTTTTTTTTGTGCGCAAAATTTTACAGCCTACAGACACAAACACACACTTAAGTGGAAATAGCTGCGCGGTACTCAAAACTGCTGCGAGGCGTCTGTGAGATTAAAGGGAACATTGATCAGGGGGATATACCCCCCCACCCCAACTCACATTGGAAGCACCTGCTTTCCCCCCTACCCATGTTTTAGCAGCCCTGCATTCATTATAATTTTATTTTTTAATGAATCAAATCGAGGTATAACTATAAAAATTGGATTATATTTATATAGAAACGCTCTGTTGTTTTATCCCCCATTTAGAACTCTTCGTTAAAAGGGGAGAAAAGGAAGGGGTAAAAAGAGTAATACGACCTTGAAGTTAAATACAGACTAAACATTAAAGGTTCCCTAAATTGATCACACTTACAAATGTCAAGTTGAAACACCACATCTTAAAAACACGGTCATTTATTTATAACGTGGCACCTGGGCCGGTGCCCTTGTGCGACTATACAAGTGCATGTAACTTGTCACATTGGAATATTTAGCGTAACCAAATAGTTCCATGAATGTCTACAGCGTTTGAAAGATAGACTCGTCAAATAATATGATTTGGAAATGATTTGGTCGGATAGGAATTATATATTATAAATAAGCATTGCACCTATTTTAAGTGAAAATTAAAAACATCTACTTGCGATGCATTGGGCTCCTGAATATTACTTCCGCGAGATCTTCAGTCAACGACATTACGACGTTACAAAAGTTGCAGCAGTGAAAGAAATGGCAGGGAAGGTCCATTTTCTTGCCAAAACAGACATTCAAAGTTAATACTTGTAGGACATTTTATTAATATTTTCCCCCCGAGATTTATATCCAGAAAATTAAATTTTTTAAAAACTTTAAAAAAAAAAATAATAATCAAAATGGCCAATGGCAATGGTTTGGATCGAAATCCATCATAATACTTTACCACAATGATGACACAGTGGGTGCGCTCATAAGGCTATAATAAATTGATATGCCTACAGATTAAAAAGTAATGATAATAATTTAGCATTTATTTATGGAGGAGGCGCGTTTCAATTTATTTTGCTTCCCATGTGTGCGTTTGTTAAATGGGTAGTTAATTGTTTGACCATTCCCCCCCCCCCACTCCCTTTTCCAATCAGTATGAACAATTTCCCAAGTCTTGTTTTTCGATCTTTGTGTTTGCTTGCCTGTGTGTGTTTGCGTATATGTGTTTGTTTTTTTTGTGCCTGTGTGTGCTTGCTTGCAGGCATTTGTTTGCATGCCTGAGTGAGCTCAAACTGAAGTCTGCAGTTGCAGAAATCGGAGTGACTTTTAAAACCTTGAGAACCGCTGGGCAGGGGGGTGGGGTGAAATAGGTCACGGAGTTAGAAATAATAGTTGCTAATAGCATTCCTCATTATACAGGCGTCTGCCGGCAGGACGAGATTTATGTAGATGGGACCGGCGACTCTTCAAGCGAGATGATCACCGGGCTTTGTGAGGGAGACGGGAGTTATCTGCCGTTGTCCATTTGTATCAGCCAATCAGCTTCTCGTCTTCTGACGTTGGGTTTGTTTTTCAGAGCTTGACCAGCAACCGATCGCGACTTCTTTCTAAGACGCACCAATCATAAATATTGCGACTCACCGGTGCTCTCGGGGGTCAGTCCAGATAGTTGAAGATTTATAATGCGATACCAGCAATATCGTTGGTCACTCTTGCAATGTTTCCCATTTCTGCCACGCTCTGAGAAATCTGGTAGAAGCTAGGAAAAAAAAGAAGAAAAAAAAGCACCGGTGAGCTACTGGAAAAGGTTAACTGGCTAAAAGTTGCGCTCCTTGCAAAGATAAGAAGTGTAAAAACGTCTTGTCAATCAATCAATCAATATTAATCTCTATAGGTATGAAAGAAATTGTGGTGTAATGGTGACTTCAATAGCGCGCTAAATAAAAATTCAGATAACTCCGCTGAATGAGAGTCTTACAAATGCCACAAGTGTGTCTGGTGCGTAATATTTTCTTTTGTTTCAAGGAGGTCGTCTCAGTTCAAATGGCATGTAATAAATTTGTGGTGTAAAAAATGTGTGGGACATAAGAAATTTTCAGGGGTTTGAAAAAAGGGGGCTATTTAAGGAAAGAGGGAAAGGTGTCAGCACTAAATGGGGCCTTTAAAAAGGTATGTTACCTGTATGCATATTTTGTCAAGAAACGTTAGCAAATGTGACTTTCATGCATGGCCGCCGCCAAAGTCTGTCGAGCATTAAACGAGCATTAAGCTCCAAGTTAAGGACAACTTCAACTAACGAACAGCTTCAGTTAATGTACAGATTCAAATAACAGGAGGCTTGGAGTTACGAAGAGCTTCAAGCAATGGGCAGCTTCAAGAAACAGGCTGCCCGACATAAGCAACGGACAGCTCCAAGAAACAGGCTGCCAAACATAAGCAACGGACAGCTTCAAGTAACAGGCTCCCAGACATAAGCAACGGACAGCTTCAATAAACAGGCTGCCAGACATAAGCAACGAACAGCTGCAAGAAACAGGCTGCCAGAAAAAAAAGCAACGAACAGCTTAAAGTAACCTGTTCAGTTAATGTTTCATTATTCCAAGTCATGCACTTAGATATTTGAAATAAACATGAAACTACAATTTCAAAAAATGTTGGATATCTAAAACATTCATCGAACACTCAATCTGTGTAATGTTGGTATCTGCAGTTTAAAATAATAATAATATTTATTTTTTTAAAATCATGTTTATAGAACAGAAACTGTAGTAGTGTTACTTTTTATCCTGTCAGTTTAGTAGCTACGGTGAATAATGCACACAGTGAGAGTTGCGTATGTTTGGATAGAAGGACTTATCATTTTTCTCTCTTAAATCTACTTTCTAATAAATGTCGTTATTTTCTATTGCCTGAAAACAGCTTTATAATGTGAAATGTATTATAAGCCATGAGAAGATTACGTATTTATATCTCCTTATAATATAAAAAAAGGTTTGGGGGTGGGGGGGGGGGAATAGGGAGGAGTGCTCAAGTGTTGCAGGCGGAACATTTCACCCAGGCTTTAAATAGACATGACACGTTAAATTTAAAAATTCCATTGATCCAAGGGAGGGAACCTTAAAAATTGTTTCGGATG